GGTTCATAATTACCCTTATTCTGAATCAATTTTAAAATATTTAACTACAAAATCAAGCTTATTTTTATTAGAATATTTTTAATCAATATATGACAGGAAAATCAAGTGCAAAGGCCTAAAAGGGATACTTACATTAGATAAAAAATGCGGAATTAAAATGTCTTTCTACTGGTCACCATACACCTTTTCCACCAGATCCTAAACTATGCAATAAATGCAAAAGAACTTTTGAAGATGATGCAGAGATGGATATAATATAAATTGCTATGATATATTAGGCAAAAGATGTAAATACTGTGAGGAATATTACAAGAGAGGGATTTCAAAAATGTTGATTCATTTGTTGAAAAAGTCCAAATATTTTAACAAATGAAGATGTTGAAGAAAAAAGAGAAGGAAGAGGTAGTAATATTGTAAATGCTGAAACAGGTTTAAATGTACTGACTGTATATCATAATAAACGAATTATTGATTACACTGAAAATTTCATAAAAGACACTGATTTTAATGAACATACAAAAAATTTAAAATGGCAATAAATTGGTAAAGATTTAGATAATTTATATATAGAGATGACTGAATGTTCTAAAAATAAATTTCTTGCAAGTAGAATATTGTTTCTCCAAGCCCAAAGTACAATAACATAACAAAATAATTAAAGAATTAATTAATGGATCTTTCAGATAACATGTCATATTTTTAAATTCATCCACTTTTACTGTCATTTTGGAAAACCGCAAATTATAGATGAATGTGTTATAGAAATCAAAAAATTAGCAAAAGTAAATGTCAAAAATGTACATTCCAAAATATTAATTTTTTTAAAATATATATAATAAATTGGATGAGGACACTTTGTGTGTTTTTATATTCCACATTTCTGGACATAAATGGATATCATAAATTCTATTGATGAATATTATTCACTCATGTTCTTTTATGTGGATTTTTACCAATGCTCACTTGTTATTAATTAATAATAAATAAATAACTTTATTATTTTTTTTTATTATAGCTGTTGTGATAATTATTATAAATTTCCCAAATTAATCAAAAAGACCTAGAAAATGATTTGAAAAAATAATATTAAAATGTTAAACTAATGGTAAATTAAAAAACATTTAAATAAATATTTATTTATTTATATTTACCGAATCCCATATCATCATCGGATTCCTCTTTCTCTTCCTCCTTGGGTTTCTCTTCTTCTTTAGGTTTTTCGTCTGCAGCACCAGCAGCACCGCCACCACCAGTTGAAGCTGCAGCAGGAGCACCACCTAATGATTAATTGATCAAATTAATTGTCACAATAATTTTCAAACAGAAAAACAAGGAAATCATATAAACTATTGTTTTAATGTATACCTGCACCAACGTTCATTAAAAGATCAGCAACGTTTTTTCCTTCAAGAGCTTTAGCAAATAAATTTGCCCAGACTGGTTCAACATCAATACCCGCAGCTTTGGTTAAAGTTGTTAATTTATCAGACTGAGAAAAAATTTCAATTTTAACATGAATAAATAATAAATAAATAAATAATTAATTAATTAATTTAATTTTCTCCACTTCTTTTGAGATAGAGATTTTATAATTAAATTTACAGTAATTTCAACACCATCGTCTGCTAGAATAAGTGCAGCATAACTGATAGCAAGTTCTGAATTAGACATTTTTTTGTTTTCTTTTAAAAATTGACTTATCTTTAATAATCAGTAAAAAACCCGTGTGCGCAAGTAACGATTTAACTCACAAATGGAGATACAATACGCTCAACACGAATTGATAAAATGGAAAAAAAAAGTATATAAATAATTTTTTCTAAAAGATCAAATTTTTTTTATAACTGAAAAAAAAATTGAATCTTAATTGTGAAATTCAAATAGCCAATCAGAATTTCAAATTTTTATTACAGGACCCTATCAATAATTCTAATAATTGAAAAATTTTAATAGGAGCAGATAAAAACATCAGTTTATAATATGTCATCATTCGTTTTATCAAAGCGTCATCTTAATGTCTATATAATTTTTTTATTTCTAAAACATTATTTGAAGTACTTCAGTGGAATTTGAACTAACGATTTGAACTAATCAATTTTTTTTGTCCGTTAGTTATCTTTTGATACATATTACATTTTTGGCAAACAATTACACTCGGTGGAAAAAGTCACCGGACACTTTATATATTGACATATTGCTCGTGAAAAAGCGATTATAAATTTCTATCCATGAATAGTTTAGGTACTCATAAATAATGGTATAGTGTAACGGTCGCGTATACCAATATAAAATAAAGTTATGATCAATAATTTTTTCCTTTAATTTTTTATTTAATTACGCAAAAATAAGTGGCCAATTTTTAGTTGCCAATAGAAAAGAACTCACTGAATTTGAACGTGGAAAAGTCATTGCACTTTCAGAAAAAGGACAATCAGTGCGTAAAATATCAAATGACCTTGGATATCCTAAGTCTACTGTTCAAGATACAATTTCTCGTTATAAGACTAAAGGAGACACCCATAGCGCTCCCTGACAGTAAAACATGGAGGAGGTGGAGTAATGGTATGGGGTTGCTTTTGTGGAACAGGGTTAGGTCCTTTGGTATTGATGGAGGGCAAATTAAATTGTTTCAGATATATACAGCTATTGGAAGAAAATCTGTTGCCGTGGATTCATCAAAAATTCAATCATCGTCGTTATTTTTTTCAACAAGATAATGCGCCCATCCATACTGCCAAAGATACAAAAGCCTGGATCTCTCAGGAACAAGTTAAAATGCTCCCGAACTGGCCTGCGCAATCACCTGACTTAAGCCCAATTGAGAATCTATGGGATGAATTGCAAAGACAACTACGAAAACGAATCCACGACCCGCAAATAAGCATGAATTGTATGCAGCATTGAAAGAAGAGTGGGAAAGAATTCCCAGAAAAACCTATAAGAAATTGATCGATAGTATGCCTAGACGTGTTCAAGAATGTATTGAGAAATGTGGAGCACCGATAAGTTATTAAAAAATACTCTTCTTTTGTAGTAATTATCAAATAAATAAAGTGTCCGGTGGCTTTTTCCCACCGAGTGTACAATCCGATGTATAATTAGTTAAAATTAATGGGATTTTACATTTTCATGTAACAAACAATTATTTTAAAAAAAAAGTTTGAAATAATAAATAGTTGCTACCCGAACTTCTGAAGATGATAGCCAAGCATTATATTTTTGTATTCTTGTCAACAAACAATGGCACAATATAAATATTCCAACTTTATGGAAGAGCCCATTTGATTGTGAAGGCAGCATCAAAGTATTAATTAATTGTATATTAGAAAATGATAAGGATTTCTTAACTAGAAATTGCATTGAATTTACTTTTAAACTATTGGAGAAATCACCATTATACAATTATGCCAGATTTTGTACCAGGCTTTTTGGTTTTTATAGTCTTCAATGCCTGATAAAAATTAGATCATTAAATCTTGAATGAATTTTAAAAAATAAATTAGGAAACTTTATTTTAGATCATTCAGCTGGTATTAGAGAGCTTAGTACTGCTGATTATATAGATTGTAATTTATTAATTAACCATCATATATAGATTTGATAATTGTTTTCAGAATCTTTATGAAATAGATTGTGGTAGACCTTATAGTGGTGAATTTTTTGATAAATTAGCAAATATTTGTAAAAATATTCAACCATTAATAGTATACTATGATAGTGATGATAAAATTTCACATTCAACAGTGTGCTGCCTTGATGTCTTCATGTAATTATATATTTATATTAATATTAATATTACTGATTATGAAAAGCAAAGGGGATATGCAGGTTGAGTATATTACAAACATAAGTAGAATTAGATTGAGTACAGTAATTACATTTATAGGTCCACATACCTGGCCCAAAAAAGGCATGTGAGTACAATTATCATTACCAAAAATGATTAAAAATGGTTTGTACTATACTCACTGCATGAAGTGTACTGTACCCAATCTAACACAACCAAAAAGCAAAATACCAATCATTCATTGTTGATAAGGATCTTATTGCCCAGCAAGATCTGCTCTGCATTTTGATTCCAATTAAAATGTTTATATAAAATAAAGACACCACATACATATCAATACAAATAAAAAAACCTATAAATACATCTGCTTCAGAACCATACCATACCAAACAACATCGCTCACATTTTGTCATCTTGGACTCTGTTGAAAAATAAATTGTTTTTCCAAAAAAAAAATCAATTCACATCTGTCCCCAAAAAAATCTTTTACAACACCAAATGCCAATAATAATAATTGCGCTTTTTTTTCTTAAAAAACTACTAAAACAAAAAAAAAAAACAAGAAAAAAATTGTGACAAGTATTTTGGGTAAGTGTTTATCAAAAGAATGGTGGTTGTCATCATCATCACTCTAGTTATTTTTTAATAATATTTTTATTTTTTTTATTTTATATACTTAATTTTATTTATAGCAATGACAAACTTAGAGAATCACCAAGAACAATTACTAAGATCTAGAGTTGGCAAATGTGCAGTCTATTGGGTCCATTAGTGTAACACTTTAACCATATTTAGTATTTATTAATGGCAATGGACCAGTCCAAAATCCATTTGTTCTCAATGAACCAGTCAATTTGCCAACCCTGCTAAGATTCCACTAGTGAATCCTTTTATTGATGATGATTATGATGGTATTGCTGATGAGGAATTAAGAGAAATAGTTGAATATAGTATAGTTTTATTACTATTACTAACTTTAACAAATGCTATATTATTTCCTATTATCCTCTATATTGGAAATTTTATTTTAATATTAGATACAAGTGTACTAGCAACTCCAGCTCCTAACAGATATGATGAAAGTGTAAATGATTATTATGAAACAGAGGATATAAGTGATGACTATGACTATGACAATGACTATAATGATGATGATGATGAATTGGTATATTTTTATAACTGTTTAATAAAATATCAAGTATTTAATATAATACTCACTCATAATTAATTAGAAAATTAAATCTGAATATGACAAAACGAAATGGAAATTAAGGTCAGGACAATATCTAGGAGATATCATGTATAAATATGGATTAACTCTTAATACAGAAGATTGTGTGCACTTGTGGATTTTGGATCTTTCTGAAAAACCTTATGGATAAACTGGTGATGATGAAAAAGAAAGAATTGCTGAAGATTATCTACCAGTTCTGGAATTATCTGAAAGTATTGTTCATTTTTTATTTTCACATTTAATTGTAAATATAAATACTTTGGTAATTTTATACTTTTAATGTTTTTACTTATATTTTAACTTCTATTTTCCCTGTAATTTTTATGATTCAAATGAATTACAAAAAAACTATATCAGGACTATCTTAAAGTAAATGAAATGCATAATAGAGAATTCCATTTTATTTTTGAATCAATAAAGCATTGTATTAGACATATGCTCTTTTTTTTAGGAGGACCACAAAATTCCCTACTCAAAAATCAAAATGAAATGTAAATGTTTGGAGTGTATGCAGAGATTTAATTATCAGGAACATTCCTATTTTTAATAATCTCAGGTATATATCATTGGTATCCCATAAATTTAGATTCTTTTATTATTACAATATTGATAATACTAATAAATAAATTATTATTGATCCAAAATAAATCTAGAAAATTAAATAATAAAGAAAGGAAAAAATTAGGATGAAGGATTGATGGCATTATTACAAAAAATAATGATGAGTATGATATTGATGAAGCAGCAAAAGGTTGGGCTGATAAAATCGAAACGAAATATTTTAAAAACAAATCTTAAAATGTCAAAAGCTTTAAATGACATATTTTTTGAATTATCCTTGAGAATAGGTGATAAAACTGAGATTTATAGGTGCTGCCCAAATTAAACATCAAGAATTCCAAATCCCAAATTATTTTGTACATCTAATGTACAAATTCCAAATGTAGATCACTGCTTTCCTAACCAATAAGCATATAGTGTAACAAAAGGGTTGCTGATCACTTTCACAAGTCCTAGGCACTGTTGTTGATAATTGCTGGTTCTGAGACAACTGGATATTTTTTCTCGATTTTATAACATTTTTTGATACAATTTTATGGTATGCAAC